GAAGGAAGGAAGGAAGGAAGGAAGGAAGGAGGAAGGAAGGAAGGAAGGAAGGAAGGAAGGAAGGAAGGAAGGAAGGAAGGAAGGAAGGAAGGAAGGAAGGAAGGAAGGAAGGAAGGAAGGAAGGAAAAGGAAAAAAAGAGGAGGAAGGACAGAAGGAAGATGGAGCCAGTAAATACCAAGGGAAGTATCTATGGTCACTCTGAGGCAGAAGGACAGCTCCTATCAGGGTAAGAGATGGCCAAATGACCAGCATCTCTTTGCCACAAGGGTTCAAGCAGAGGCTTGGATAGCCATCTGCTGGGAATCCTATAGTGGTGGATTCCTGCAGTGGAAAGCAGGTTGGACTGGATGATCTCCAAAGTAATCTTCCAACTCTTCCATATTTGGATGAGCAAGATGCTGAAAGCGACCTTCCCCTGATATTTGAGACCCTCTCAAAGTTCCGTCCAACCTTGCCTCCCATCCTCTGCATTTCAGAGCGGAGGGGTGTTGTTTCTGAACCCCCTTGGGATCCCCGGCCGCTCCCTCACCTCGATCCTGAATGTTTTCCTCCGAGACAGTCTTGGTGTCATTCAGCACCTTCTCCGAAGCAGCGTGGATGAGTTTGTGGTGCGTCACGCTTTTCGGGTCTTCAAGGCTGCCTGGCACGCACTGCAGGGAGGGGATTGGCAGGGGGGGGGGGAGGAAGAGCAGGGAACAGCGTGAACCTTTGAAAACAGCCTTGTCCTCCTCATCACTAGGTTTCCTGGGCAAAACAGCCTCTTCCAGGGGAGTGTAAAATAACTGGACGGGAAGACAGGATAAGGAGGGTTCAAGAGGAGAACGAAAATTACAGCATGCACGTAGTCCTTGACTTACGACCACAACTGAGCCCAAAATTTCTGTGGCTAAGCGAGACAGTTAAGTAAATTGTACCCCTTTTTATGACGTCTCTTGAATTACTGCAGTTAGTAACATAATTGTTAGTTAAGTTAGTAACATGATTGTTAAGTAAATCCCCATTGACTTTGCTTGTCAGAGGGACTTCTTTGCATTTTTGGGGGGGGGGGGGAATGATTCACTTAAGAACCACAGCAAAAACATTGTAAAATTGGGTATGAAGCACTTAACAACCAGCTTGTTAAGCAAGGGAAATTCTGGTGCCAATTGTGATTGTAAGTTGAGGATTACTTGCACAGACCGACCAAAGAAATCATGGGAATTTCTTCACATATATGAGGTTCGTACAGGGCTCTGCATGACTTTCTTCTGCAGTAATGTCAGGGCTGGTTTATTTTTATATTCCCCCGCGATGACCTTTTGCAGGCGACAGGAGATGTTATCAACTGATCCCACTCTGCATAAATGTCTGTTAAGATCCCCTTCAACATCCTGATTGGCTTTTTAAAAACTAGAGGGGGGATAGTCATTTGGTAAAATATTGTTCATTTGGAAATCTGTGCCCGTTTAAAAACGAAAACAACATTAAAATGGAAATGCAAAGAGTTTCCCCTCTTTTCTTAAAATAAAGTGAGATCTCCAAGAATCAAACTAAAGATTCATTTGGTGTCCCCCAAAAGTTCACTAAAACTCATACTGGCCCATTTTGGGGATGGCGCTTCTATGTTTTGAGCCAAAAAAAGGAAATTTGTCTAAAAAAAAAAATCTCTTTAGTAAAATCATCCAAAATATTACACAGCAGTGTGAGTTTGTTCTTAAAACACATGTATTTTTTCATACGAGTATGCAAACTATGCAAAAAACTAAATACTTTTTTTTTCCCTTTATGGAAAGCATCTGTTTTGGGATATTTCAGTCTTGAAATGTTATTCTGCTCCCAGTCTTCATTTCTCAAAATAACTTTTGAAATGCAAAGTCAGGGTTGGCTCAGGACACATCTGTGTGACGGTTAAACAAGGCAGTTTCTTGTTTTTCTCACAAGGGAAGGAAAAATTGACCTGAATTCAGTATCTGGATTCGCTCCAGAGATTCCCCCCCCCCCAAAAGTGGTTTCTGCTGATATGGCCTTTTAAACCTGGTTACTGCAAACCTTTTCTTAGGCACAAAAAGCAAGTGGGGAGATGAATTTCTTTCTAGATTAGCCCACCCTACATGAAGGGTTTCCATCTCCAATTTTTAAACACCCTGTTTAAGCTTTAAAAGACTCCAATGCCCAAGTATATGGTCCTCAGTGAGGGTCCTGGGTCTTTTCAAACTAGAAGATGGCCCAGAAGGGGTGAGGATGGTAATCTATCCTTCCAGGTGGATTTGGAGCTTGGACTGGTTGGCTGTACAGGCAAAGAACGATGGGCACTGTATTTGGAAGAAATGAGGGTGACGGCAGAGGATTATGGGCATTGCCTTATAGCAGATTGGAAGCACCGCCGGCTGCCCGGCTGGGGATGATAGGAGCTGAAGGCCCTGACCTCCAGAGGGCCAGCAGATCTGCAGATAAGCTGTGCTGGCTGGGAACCATGGGAGGCCGCAGTCGATCCCATTGGAAGAAGGGCATTGTTATGGGCTATGTAATCCATCACCCGTCAGGAGCGCCACACAGTGCTGGCTGAGGATGATGGGCACTGTAGACAACGCCCTCTAAAAGGGCACGAGGAGCTGCAGGGGTCAGGCTGGTCAAATATGATAGGCTAGGTAGTGTGTGAAGGCAGAAGTGCCGATGGAGGATGATGGGCACTGCAGTCAATCCAACCTGAATGGGGGGCACAGCATGAAGGACAAAAGAGTCCATCGCTGCTGGAAGGGGCCGGCTGAGGATGATGGGCAACGGGGTCACCCTCTCCAAAGGAGGCTCGGGCAGCTCAAGAGGCCACACACCGGCCAAGTGAGATGGGCTTTGTAGTCCACCGCCTTTTTCCAGGCGTCCCAGGTGTTCCGGCTGAGGATGATGGGCACCGTAGCCAGTCCCTTTCTGAAGGGCGGCCCGACGCCAGGGGCTAGGCCGTGGGGCGGGCTGCGGATGAGGGGCTCTGTAGTCCACCCCGGGGCGGGGGCTTACGTGCTTGAGGCAGCGCTCCTTGAGGCGCTCGATGGCCGTGTCCTCGGCCACCTCCTCCAGCCACTCGGCGCCGTCCAGGGCGCAGATGCGCAGCCGCAGCACCTTCGCCGCGAAGATCTTCTCCTCCTGCACGAACATCGCCGCCGCCGCCGCCGCCGCCTCAGGGCCCCCGGCCCGGCCCGGCCCGGCCCCACCGACTGCCCCCCCCGAGCCGGAAGTGGGCTCGCCGCGCGGCGACACGGGAGTTGCAGTCCAGGCCGCGGAGCCACGCCCCTTCCGCTTTGCAGGCTCGCTGGTGCTGGAACCACGAGAGACAGAGAGGGAGAGAGCGAGAGAGGCGGCCGGAGATTCCTAGACGTTCCTAGACGGTCGCCCCTTTGCTGCCCCCGGCGCCTGCGGAGGGGATTGCAGCCTCGTAACGCGCGCCTGTATGCGGCCTGTAGTCAAGTTGAGGGTTCAGGCTCGGCTCCCCCACATAGAGCTGCCCCCCCCCCACAAGTCTTCCCCTTGCATAGGGATTCTGCTTGTATCCTCCAGGCAGGGAGTCGGATATCGGGCATCTTGACCCCAATCCCACGACATTTTGCTTGTGGCACCAATCGCAGAGGCGATGAGGGTAAGGCAGGTGGACGCACCCAGCGGGCATCCCCTTCCACCCCGGGCCAAGACCGCCTACCAACTAGACTAGAGGTCAATGGCCGGCCAAAAGAGAAATGGCAAGACACCAGCAACAAAGGCATGCAAGCCCTGGAGGCGCAGCTGACCCGGGCAAAGTGACCGTTCAATGATCCGAAAAGCGGAGCCTTCACCTGCAGGAATACCTGCGGGAATAGGGAGGAGGAGGAGGAGGAGGAGGAGGAGGAGGAGGGAAAGGCGTTCAGCAGTTGCATGGCCCCTCTGGCTTGCAGGCAGGAGCTCCCATGCCTTTGCCTGGCGCTGTCCACGTGCAAGCTTGGAAACTGGGTTATTATAGCCCACCAACCAAGTTAGAAGTCTGCCAGGCAACGCAGCCCAGCCAGGTGGAGGTGACTCGGTGCCGCGTCACTTTTTCCACTCTGCAACGTTGGGACCCCAGAAGCACCTTCTGACAGGAGGCTCCCCCCCCCCCCCCCCCAAAAAAAAAATATCTGGATGGCTTTCCCCCTCTGCTGTTGCTCAAGACCCCCAGGTCTTGGGCGAGCCTCACTTCATTGCACTTCCATCTTTTTAATCTTTATTTTTTTTTTAATTGCATCTGTTTTATTGGCATGCCTTTGTTGCGTTGTTGAGTTGAATCCCTGAGAGTCCAGGCAGCATACACGTTTAATAATAATCACTGTGGGCCAATCGCCAGGAGACGGGGAGTTCTACTACCACCTTAAGACACGAAAGCCATCTTGGGTGACTTTGGGCCAGGCCTTCTTTCTCAACCCAACCCACCTCACAGGGTTGTTGTTGCAGGGAAAATAGGAAGGATGAAGAGCATTGGGAATGTTCACTGCCCGGAGTTACTTATAAAATAATTAAAAGGCAGGATAAACGTATAATAACAAAGGTGCTATTCAAGTGCACCTTGTTGGCAGTGCTGAATTGGGGTGCTTCATTCCCAAGCTTTAATTTATTTATCAAATTTATTTCCTGTCCCTCTTGTGATTCAGGCGACTGAGCGGCTTTTGAAGATGCTGGGAAAGAACAGCAGCAAGAAGCGTCATTTTCAACATACTTTTATTATTTTGTAAATGTGAATTTTACAAAGCATTTTCTCATTCATTATCACATTTTTTTTTTTAAACGGATTTCCCCCCCCCCTCCTTTACGGTATATGAAATAGGTCTGACCACACTCTGAACTCCTATTAGAGCTCTGCCAAGGGATGACTTTAAACCTTGCTTTAGCACTTGGATGAAGTTACGGTTTAATAGATCATCCATCAAGGCTTAACGTAACAGTCTTGAGCTGGATATGAGAGAAATGGCACGTAAACAACCAACAGAAAAGAAGTGAGTTAGCACGGCTGAAACGTAATTTTCGGCAGCACTGCAAAAACTTCCCTCTAAGCACTGGAATTATTATTATTATTTTTATTATTAACAGTCATGAATTACAGTACTATTGGATACTTTAATACAGACTCTTTGAACATCGTTGTTCCCTTAAGACGCTTCTCTGACAGTTTTAAGACTCAAGTGCCATCCAAAGATTCAAGTTAAAAATATCTATAGACTCACGCATAAACTTCTGGTTTTTTGTTGTTTTAATCATTTCAGAACGCTCAAAAAATAGTATTGCAAAGTTTTTTTTTTGGGGGGGGTGGGCTCCCCTGCCCTTTCCCCCCTCCCTCCCCCTCCCAGTTTCGGTCGCAAAAGTGCAAAAAAGGTAGGGAGGGAAAGCAGGTTTGAACCTTGAAAAGTTTGGAGAAGTTTTGAAGCGCCAGTGAATTTTGCTTCTATCCTAGCAAAGAGGAGATTTTGGCAGATTTGGATAAAAGGGGGTTTTCACAGCAGGAAGTACAGGAATGTGGACATTAAATGGATTTCCCTCCCTTTTTTATTTATCCCAAAGGTGTTTTTTCAAGAGGCCACTGGACTTTTGGGCAGTTGCCTCTTGAAAAAGCACCTTTGGGATGACTTGAGAATCTTGAGACTTTTTAAATTTATGGTTATTTATATTTTGCATTTGTGGACCTCCCATCACCCTCAAGAGTTTTAATCTACACCCCCTCCCCAACCCAAAAAGGAGCCTTAAATTCACTGCAACTATCAGGACTGCTTGAACTAGACCTATTCGGTGAGATTCAATATATCATCTTGGAAGAATGGGGCAAAAAAAAAAATATGAAAAAAAAAATGCTGATGGCTTTTGGGAAGCTACAGCAGGAATTGGGATGGACTGAGCCTTTTGTCCAGCAAAGATGTCCTTGAGAAGGACGCCCCCTCTGTAATAACCTGCACATCTGGAACTACATCTGGGAATGACATCAGTCCTGCAGAGGGCTCCATGCAACCAGCTTTGGAAGGGGGCTAATTTATCTAGAGAGAGGCAAAAAGTCTGCAAAAGGAGGTTGCAGAAATCAGAAATAATGCTATTATTATTATTATTATTATTTATTACTATTATTATTTTTACAGCCTTTATCCCCAAGAAAATAAAAGAAGCAGCAGGATTTTACATGCTGTGGGCTGCACTCGAAGGGCACCGGATGAAACGGGCAGGAAAAAAATAAAACTTTATGCCTGTAAAGCTAAGGATGATCTACGGGTGTCTTTCTTAAGGCCACATCAGGAGGGATACAGCAGAAAAACACAATTTGGGGCTGTAGTTAGGGGCCAGTGGGGAAGGGCCCAATATTTTAAAGTGGAGGTCAATTTGGAGCCAAGTTGCTTGGGGACACACATTTCGTGAGAGAGAACATAGGGAAAAACAGAAAAAGAAACGAAGGAATGGAAACCCCCAAGAGCAAATCTGAAGACAGGTGAGAAGGAAACCAGAACGAAAGAAGAAACAGGGGAGAAAGAAAGAGGGGAGGATACAAGGAGATGAAGACAACAGAAAGGAAGGAAGGAAGGAAAAGGAAAGGAAAGGAAGAATGGAAAAGGAAGGGAAGGAAGATATTAGCTGTGTGTGATACCAATTTTTTTTAAACATCCAGATTGCTTCTACAGCAATTTAAGAGTAGAATTTAAAGCATTTCCCACCAAAGAAATTAAACCAAAAAAGGAAAACAGAAACCAATGATCATCAATGTCCAGAATATGGCTTAATACCGACTTTGGAATGAAAATGAATTTCAGGAACCTTAAGTTTCAACTTGTCAAGGGCTTTGTGGTAGACTCCAAAGGGGGGCTTCGGAGGGTAGCCCTCCCCCTGTCCGCCCCCATGGAAGTAAAGACCAACAGATTGGGGAGAAGGGCGATGGGGAAACCTGCAAAATCCCAGAAAAATGGGACGAAATCCTACCAGGATTCGCCATCACGGGCATCGCTAAAGTCCTCCCGAGTTTTCTTTTTGTAGTCTTCTCTTCTTTAAAAAGGTGCTTGATATAACTTTTCATATACATATATAGTATTTATATATATATATATATATAATATATATAATATACACAGGTAATATTGCTAACAGTCAAGCATTCAGAATAAAGGTGCAGACATACCATAAATATGTATTTTCTCTTTTTCCTAGGTTAAATCTACAGGGATGTCATTCCCGCCTCACTATGGGACGCCTCGTTACAGTCCGAGAGCAACTTCTGGGCGCCGATGCCCTTCCCAGAGTCACCTGGCTGGGAAGCATGGGGGTCGGAATCCAACCCAAGATGGAAGCACCAGGTTGGGGAAGGGCATGGTGAATGAATGGGGGAGGAGGAAACGGAGAAAGGAATTTGATAGGCTATTGAAATCAAATCTTTTTTTTTTTTTTCTCCATGGAGAGGATATAGGATAAGGCACTGAGAAAAAAAACCAGGTTGGGATTAATTTTCCCTTTTGTTTCGCGGTCCTTCATGGCCAAGAGTTTTTTTTGTTTTTGTTTTTGAAGCGGGGAGTGTCCCCCGTTTTCCTTTCTGGCTGGGAAGGAGAAAAGCCTCCGAGAGGGGCCACCAAGGACCCCCGGCCCACATTTCGGGGGGGGGGGGGGTCATATAGTGCAAGCGGCCGGCCTCCCCTTGCAGAGGCTGGGAACACCCCACCCTGCCTTAAAACTGTTCACATTGTCTTCAGGTTTTCCGTTTTTCCTTTTCCCTCTTTCCTTCTCGTCCGAAAGTCAAAAGCCACCAAGGAAATCCAAGCCTGGCTCTTCCCGCCCCCCCCCCCCCCAAAACCCCCCACGGCCCCCCCCCCCCAACAAAAGAAAGATGTACATAAAATTGTGCTTGGTACAAAAATATATCCCAACTGTGCAACGCGATGCTCTCTTCGGATCCTATTCTGAGCCGTTCAAGTACTTGCTTCCGTCCTGTGACTTTTGCCAGGGGGTGGGCGGGCGGGAGCTAGGACAGCTACTCGGGGGGAGGATAGTGGGGCAGCCCCATGGCTGATTGCAAAAGAAGCAAAGCGCAGGTGGGTTGGGTTAGGGAAAGGAGACCACGAGGAGATCTCACCGTTGTAAGCTGGGCTTAGAGTTGTAAGCTGGGCAGGCAGCTATGTGTGTGTGTTTGTTTTAAAAAAATTAAATTAATTTCTAGTTTCTTTATTGCTGCCAGGAAAATAAATGGAAAATTCCTTGACATGCTCAAGAGGAGACAGGCTCCTCTTCCATCTCCCTGAAGCTGGATGCCAAGCAAAGCAGCCATCGTTGGGAGGCTGTGCTGCTATCACAAGCTCAAACCTTGATCAAAGCAACGCTCAGTCGCCACAACGGGATTAGGACTTTCCGTCGTAGTTTGGAAAAATGACCGAATGGATTGGGGGCAGGAGGGGGGGGGGGAATCCGAAGCCGGCTATTCGGTTAGGGCACATAATCACCGACGTAGAGCAAGCAATTCTTCCTTTCTCAATTCAAATACAACTGTGGGGGAGAATTCCATGCGAGCTACAGTAACCTCGTTGGCCAAACGACATGCATTCCGCTATAAGCAGCTCCCCCATTCCCAGGAGAAAGAGCCAAGAAGCCTATGGTTCCCATCCATACATCACCCCCCACCTCCAAAAATCTCCCATTTTTGCCCTGAGCAACTAAGCAGGACCGGTCAGAGGCATCGTTTCAAATTGCTTTTGGATCCATCAGATGGGACTTCCGACTCCCAGAATTCCATGCTGGCTGGGGAATCCTGGGAGTTGAAGTCCGCCGTGCTTAAAGTGACCACGCACCAGATAGAAAACCTAGATTATCTCAAGCTACCTTCAAACTCAGAAGGCCCAGAATGCTTCCTCGCCAACGGAAAGGAGCCAGCGATTTCCTTGGCAAGCCTGCCAGGAGACCACCAGACCCAGGTTGGTTTCCTCCCGGCTCTCCAGGAACCAGGGAAGGAGAAAACGCGTGTGGGAAGAGTGGAAAGCCGGACGACCAAGTTGGAGGAGAAGAATGACGGAAAGGAAAGATATGCCCATAGTTGTGGGGGGGACGTAGCTCCCCGTTTACTACAGTAGGGGTTGGTGGGGGTGTTTCCTCCCATGTTGCTCAACCATGCAAGGGTTCAACCCGGAGATCCGAGGCAAGCAACCTACACCAAAACTGAACCGAATCAAACCAGGATCATGATCACAACTAAGTTCTCGCGAGCCCAGGTGGCTGGTGAACAGGACGGCGGTGGGGGTGAATATAGCCTCCCTCCTTCCTTATTTTTTTTTTGGGGGGGAGGGGGGGGGGAGGGGCCCCTGCTCCTCTGGGCTGTGGGGGGGGGGGGGGGGGGGAAGGGCCTCTTCCCACTGGGTGGCGCCTTCATCGGTCCTAAACACGAGCAGACTCAAAAATCAAAATTTTTCTCAGGCAACGGTAGCAGTTCAGTAGGTAAATGGTTTGATCGTATGGGGGTGTTTTGTTTGTTTGTTTTCTTCTGTAATTAATAAGAACATGCAAGCAGCTTTAGGGTTACAGATCCTTCCAGAGAGTGACGGCCCACCCTCGGCGGTCTGGTTCATAAGGGGGCCCCGTAAGTCGCCTCCGGCCGCCCCGCAGGGGTTTCCGGCCGGCTGGGGGACCCCGATCCTTCTTCGAAGGGCTGTGAGGTGCTTTGGGTATCGGAAGCCAGGGCTTCTGGGCCGGCCGACTCCTGGATGACGGAACTGGCCCCTTCACCCTCCTCGCTCGGCTCAAACAAGGGGCCCGTCCCGTTGCTCTGGTCGACCGTCACTGTGTTAGTTCTGAGGGCTACAATCGTCCCAGAATCCCCTCTCCTTTCCGCATAGATCCGTTGCTCGAACATCTGGGCGCTGGAAGGCTGGAATTCGGGGTCCAGGAGGACGTTGGCGGTGGTGGAGCCCATGACGGAGCGGTACATCTCCATCCCCTCGGGCAGCATGGACTTGATCTTGGGAAGCCATCGCTTGCGCACTCGGCGGGCGTTCGTGCACATGTCGGCCGCGATGACATTCATCTCGCTCTCCTTGAAACTGGGGGCAAAATTCTGACAATACACTGCAAAGACAGGGGAAGGGGGGAGGGTTTAGCCAAGGGCGGGAAGAGGCTGCTAGGGTGGCTACGGGGCGGGTTGGGCAAGGTTACGGCCAGGTGAGGTTCCCCCTCAGTCAGCGTCCGATAAGCGAGGATCAGGAAATCAAGGGCATGAAAGAGCTTTGAGGAGAGTTCTGGTTGTCTAGATGGTGATGGTAGGTATATCTTCGGAATCTGTTCTGGAAAGCCTGCTCATCCATCTGTCATCCATCCATCTATCTACCCAATCTATATCTATCTATCTAATCAACAGTATCTCTATCTATCTATCTATCATCTATCTATCTATCTATCTGTCTATCTATCATCTATCTATCTATCTACCTACTCTATATTACTATAACTGTCTATCTATCTATCTATCTATCTATCTATCTATCTATCTATATTTATCTATCTATCTATTACTCTATTTATCTATCTATATCTATCTATTTATCTATCTACTCTATATCTATTACTATATCTGTCTATCTATCTATTCTTCTCTATATCTATGTATTTATCTATCTATCTATCTATCTATCTATCTATCTGTCTATCTATCTATCTATTACTCTATTTATCTATCTATATCTATCTATCTATCTATCTATCTATCTATCTATCTATCTATCTATCTATCTATCTATCTATCTATCCAATCAATCCATCCATCCAATCCACCCACCCACCTATCTGCTCCCTGTCCCCGCCTAGCTTGGCCCAAAGGGCCACTCGTATCCTCCTACTTACATTTCACAGCATTGAGCACCCGGCTCTCGAGGGGTTTCCGGCTGGGGTCACTGGTGGAAGAACGAATTCCTGTTCCACAGCTGTTGGCCAACGTGTTCCTGTTTCCAAAAGAAGCAGGGGGGGGGGAAAAAACCTCAGGAATATATGCTTCCTTGCCAGTAAACCTCAATTTACAGCAAGCCTTGCTGGTTGGGGAATTCTGGGCGTTGCAATTTCACCTCTCTGACTTCAGAACAAAATCTCCAACAAGCCATTATCTCCCACTGCTGGACAAAAGAGCTGGAGAGTTCCAAGCAGATCCTAATCCACCCTAACCCAGTTTAAACATGGCACCCAATGCAGTAGTGCCTTAGCTATGAAAGTCAGCTGAGTGACTCTGGGCCAATCACCAGGAGACCGTGAGTTCTAGTCCTGCCTAAGGCATGAAAGCCAACTGAGTGACTTTTGCTGGGGAAAATAGGAGGTGGAAGGCGTGTTGGATGAGTTCACTGCCTTGAGCTATTGTAAAACTATGAAAGCAGGGATACAAATGAATACACAGAAATAAAAATGAAAACATTTCTTGGTTTCGGAATGGTTCTTCTGGGCTCTGCTCTAATCCCACAAAAAAAATTTTGCCATTCCTTTTTCTGGAAAGTATTTTTTACCCAGCCCCAAAAATGAAGGAGCAGCGCAGGTGACGCGGCCATCCTACCTGTCGAAGAACGTGGCCAGGAGGCGTCGAAGGAGGACTTTGTGTTTCACACCTGCACAGAGGTGACAATTCATGAGCTGTCCTCGAGTGATGTAAACCCCAGAACCTGGGAAAAAGGAGGAGGAGCAGGAAAAAGGGAGAGAGGCTAAGGATGAAGGCCGTATGAAGAAATTCAATTAGATACTTTTAAAAAATAAATAAATCAATAATTCCCAGCAGAGCAATTACACCGTTTGAAAGTATTACTGAGGGAAGCTCCTTGTTCCCAAGCCTTGAGGGACACCTTCCTTGGAAGGCCAAGCACAGAATTTAAAAGCAGAGGCCAGTTAGAGGAAGAAGGAAATTCTTATATAGAGCCCTGCACACCAGAACAACTAGACACAAGGACAGTTTTCCTCCAACACCATCACTCCGCTAAATAAATAATTCCCTCAACACTGTCCAACTGTTTACTAAGTCTGCATTACTATTGCTATTAATCTCATCACTCTTTATCGCCCCTCCCCTCCCACTTATGAGCGTATGACTGTAACTTTGTCGCTTGTATCTTTATGATTTATATTGTTTTATTTAGTTTCCTAGTATGATTTGATTGCTTATTGTACCCTATGACTATCATTAAGAGTTGTACCTTATGATTCTTGACAAATGTATCATTTCTTTTATGTACACTGAGAGCATTTGAACCAAGACAAATTCCTTGTGTGTCCAATCACACTTGGCCAATAAAGT